GTACCACTGAACCCAGGCCAAGCTCAAGCTCACTCAGCAGGTCTGCCAACTTCGGATCGAATGCTGAACGCCAGCGCTCATCCTTGGGAGAAGAAAAATATTCTCTGCTCTTGTTTGCAAAATCGTTTGTGCACTCAAAACTCTAAATCAGACTATTAAGAGAAAGCTAATTTTATATTAGTCAAAGAGTTAACAAGCCTTTTTTCCTTATTACAAATATAGGAAAGTTTCGATTCACTCTAACCTCATATTTGCTGGTAGATTTTGCTCATTGTGTGATCAGAACCTTTCACCTCAGTTAATGTTACAGACAAAGCCTAAAGTTTTCAAAAAGCATAAATGGAAATTCTTCAGTACACAAGCACGGGCTCACCTTTAGCAGTACAGGTGCAAAGACTTGTCTGACAGCCTGGTAGAGGGTGTTGATGGGAGACTCAAGCATGGATGACACCAGGATGCTCCTGTGAAGGTTGTCTTCCGTGATCACTGTGGGCTGCAGCTTGAAGAACACCAACACCTTCTCTCTGCTGTCGCCAGAGGCTTCGACCTGTCAAAAGAGGATAAGAAGATTAAAAAAAATGACACTTGTTAGAATCTTTAAGTTAACTTATGATTGTGAATTGTGCAGCACTTTGATGAACATTTTGTTTCTTTTAAATATCATGTTATTACAAAAACAAGAAACTTTAACAAATTGTCATTCATGGAATTATTATTTGGAGTCCATAATTTTAGGTACATTTTATTTTGTCTTTATTATTTTTCACATTTACCAAAGAGCAAAATTTTGTTTTGTGGTTTTTGATAAAATACATCATTCTTAGTGTGCTTTAAAAAATATTCTCATTGAACCAATGACAAATAGGATCTTGCCCTTTGAATCTTGAGGCAAATATTAACGTTAACGTTGTAATGATGCTTTCACAATTTGCGTCACCTTATTTGACAGCTGAAGATCATTGTCGTGTCTGCTGATGGACAGGACAAATTCATTTCCATCATCCAAGAAGTTATTGAGCTCGGAGCTGTCAGCCAGGGATGACAACGGCTTTAACCCGTAGAAGTTTCCGGTTGTGGTCAGGATGAATTTCTTGCGGGCATCATCTGAACCATGGGGCATCTTTGAGCTGGAACTAACATACTGATAGTGAGAACGCTGTAGTAATATACATATATATATATATATATATATATATATGTTATATATTCATATGTGTGTGTCTATTTGTTATGTGTAAGCAGAAAGCTAAATGCTTCAAAAACACAATAGAGTTTGTAATAAGCAATAAATATATGCATGAAAACACAAGAAAAAAACATGCAACACTGTGTGTGCTGTGGGACATAAACAGCTTCTAGTAGCTGTAATGTATAACAAGTACAGATCATCTCACTAGGACTTTTAAATGTTGGATTTTAACAATGCATTTAGAACTGGGCCAGTTAATGCTGATGTCAGGACCCAGTTTGAGCCTGAGAACCCATTAAAAGCATCTTTTTTGCTTTACAACGTTGCACTGAATCAAGCCAGGACCGAGGCAATAGACGAGCTATGGCCAAACTCCACGAGCTTTCAAGTAGTGTTTGACGTCTTTGGATTTAACAGAGCAGTGCTATCAGTGCTCGTGTGGCTGCTAAACTCTCAGCTACTGTCTCACCACTCTTCATTCACTGGCTCAGTGTCCTTCTGTTAAACCTCCTCTCTGGCGTGGACCGCACTAAGCTGTTAGCAAAGTGATAGAGCAGCTGCAGCGTCACAGCTAACCTTAGCGACGGCTACAGCTGCTAGCAAGCTAACGCTAGCTCACCGCCTCCGTGAGTTAAGGATTAGCATATTAGCTAGCAGGTCCGCCTTTAGCATGCTAGCGTAGCAATTGCAACTTTGGCTTATTACCGTTTTCCAGCAAATGTTCTTCTCTTGCAGCTTCTGGAGACTTAGCCCACGGAGAGAACCTGTACCAGCCTGTTGCTAGTGTCCGTGTGTACTATGCTTGCGTAGTTACCAGGCAGCTACGTCGTTTTCTTGTACCACGTGACACGGCAGCCTTAGCATTCTACGCCATTTACTTACCGCAGAGTCTTTACCAGGCTTCCCACCATCGAAGCACATATGGACACATGTATATTGTATATGTTTTGGTATAGATTTACAATATAGAGCACAGGCAAACAACATATTGGATGTAAGGTGTATAGGAACGCCTTTTCAAATATGTAGATTAAATCATTAGGTGAGGTTTGTCTGCTTCATCACTGTTTTTAAACAATACCTTTTTATGTTCACTTCATTCACTTGTTTGTATAATATCTCTTTTTTATTCGCCTCAATGAATACAAATGAATGAATGATCAAAAAGCATTACAATATTCCTTCAGTATTCTGTTACAAAGCCACACATGCAAAACCACATTGAAACAGTGATTTATTTTATACATAACTGACTTTCAGTTCTAAAAATGTGACAGTCAATGTATGGTTACTGAGAAGCGTGTTAATATGTGTGATTCAATGTGAAACTGAGGTGAGTCAGAGGACATTCATTTGTAGGTGGCCCGGGAATGCATTTGCATTCACCCACTGATGAGGCCAAATTTGTCCCAGACCACCTCTGAATGTGATCTTAGTGATCAGATGTTCACACCTGAACGTATTATTGGATCACTCAGGATGGATCTACCAGGTCAAAATGAGATCATTAACAAGGTTGAATATTGTGATGACGAAACTGAATATATTGCAATCCCACATTTTCTTGCAGTTTTAAATGATGCATCTCAGTGCTGTATTCTAAGTTGCCCCTAGTGGGCCAGGAGTTTACATTTACAGCTCATTTAAGAATTTGAAATTGACTCAATAACGTCTATCTCTTTGTATTACTGATTCAAGAACCAGTCTGGGAAATTTCGTAAGTTTAGTTGACTTCTGTCACATACCTTATAGAACATAAATGGTTGTTAACTCTGATACCATACTTCACATCTGCTACAATAGTTTCAGAAAGTATTCTCCGCTCAGTAGATCTTGTGAAATGAACATTTTTTTACAATCAAAAATCTGAAATCGCTTAATGACAAATATATTCAGACCCTTAATTCAATTCCTTGTAGAATCTCCTCACAGCGTAAAAACAATTTTATCCTCTTAAAACAAAATCTACAACACAACAAAGTTTGTAAAAAGTGAAGGGGTCTGAATACTTTCTGGAGTCAGTGTATTTTTCCAAACAGCCACTAAGCTCTTTATTTCTCCTCACAACCCTTGACCTTTCAGTTTGTTACAAGCCCATTTCTGGAGCAAAACACACATTAAAACTTATTATATTGGCAACTTAATCCAGGTCCTCGAGTGTGAATAGCTTTGTGTCAGACAGCAGCTGCAGACTTGCAGCATGATACAGGGCTACACATGGTCTGCTGCATTTCCTTGGGTTTAGGGGAGAACATTTCAGACAGGATGTTACTGAAGAGAGCCGACTGACAGTAAGTGATTCTTTAATATCCAAATCCCTCTGAATGATGAGAAGTGATTTGTTTATGAACTGTTATAGAAATTGTTTCTGGTAATACGATCTCAGATCCTCTCCTCCCACATACTGCCCACCGGCATTGTCATCTATTTTAAGGAAAACATAAAGCTTTAATGATTCAGTGGTCACATACTTCTAAAACAACCATTACCATTACCTCACATTTGAATATGACTGAATGAGACACAGGCAAATGATGAGTAACATTTACTTTCTGGGCAGTTTCCTAAAATTTTTCAGGGACACACATGGAAAATCCCTGGAAATCCTCAATTTCACAACATTCCCTAAATTCTGTTGCTGTCTGTAGTAAGTAGTAAATGTGTGTGTATATGTATCAAAGGCTGAGGTTGGTCAGTCAAGGGTATTCCCTTTCTTTCCACTCAGCTGGGATAGGCCCATTCCTGAATAGAAAGAACAGTGGCATTTGGAAAGAAGAACTGACAAGGAGGAGTCGTGGCGTTAAAAGGAGAATCAAGAATCCCCCTCATGTGTCACATGAACTGTGAGTCAGACCTTAGTCATCAAAAGTCTTAGCCAATATGAAATAACACATCAAAATTCAATGCATTGGATGTTCTGTATAGTTCCTATATCCATATACAAAACACAAATTATAAATCCCTTTTTCATCCAAATACATGTGAAACACTGTGCTATGCAGCAGAGGTGTTATTGTCAAACCAGGTGTCGGATTACACTGTGTCATTCACAGCCCATTAAGAACCTGAAATAGACGAGAGGACATACAGTATATTACTGATGCAATAAGATTGAAGAGCTAGTCTGTGAAAGTTTTTTTTTTTTATGAAGGAAATTCACTAGTTCCTCTTCCCCCCTGCTGTACTTTTTTAAAAGCACCTTTTTAAAATGGGCAAACAGGATCTTCCAGATTATGTGTTTTTCACAGTTGTACTTAGTAAAACATTTTTCATGATGACCTTGTCAAATGTGAAGAAAATTTGACCTGTAGCTAAGAACGTGTTTCCTTTCTTGTGGTTTATTTTACAACAAAATCACACCGTGATGGAGCATTAAACTATGGTTACATCTTAACAGTCTTAGTGAGTTATATAAATGTAAATACATGATGTCAAAACAACCACATACAGCAGAATATAAGATCTTTATAATTAGAAATGGGGATGCGACTGTAGTAGTAGTACTGGCATGGTAAATGATTGGGATTCCTTCCAGGTGCATGTGCTGATGAGCCTGAGTTGACGGGGAAGTTTCATGTTGTGTATGGAATCACCCATAGCTACGACACGAACGCATTGCTTACACACACAAAAACACAAACACACACATACTTTTGTGGAAGCTTCTTTCATCAAAGTACGCAGCTCAACAGGTTTAAACTCAGCAAAATCCGTTGCATAGACTGTGATTCTCAATTTGTGTTACAGCCCTATGACTCATGATATGCTGCTCCACCCACTGCTGCATACACCCTTGAGGAGGAAGTTCATTTCCCACTCTCGCGCACAGAGAAGAGAAGACTGCACACATGGTAAGATACTTTCTTTTCTCTTTTCTGATTTGTCTGAACATGTATGTTTATAGCTATGATTATGGATGTGGATTATGATCATTTAGTTGACAAAGCCATATTGATGGGAGAGAGAAACTCTCTTATGCAATAACTTTTCTGTGATAAAGAAATACTTTACAAACACTATTGAGCAGTGGCCCGTGAATGCTGCATGTTTATGAGTGTGTGGGTGTGTGTTTATATATATATATATAAACAAATTCAAAACTTTCATGTGGTGTCAAGTGCTCCACACTTGTTTCAGTTGCAAGATTATGTAATTCAGCAGAACAATTAAACAAAGTTTTATCTGCAAGTAAACTAATATCTTTACAAATATCAGGGAATCCACTTGATTTGTATAGTTTCCCTGTTAAACACCACTTAACTCCTCATCACTAAAAGATTACCTGCATTATCAAATGTAAAAATAATCTCGGCAAATATGTGCTCTCGGGTGTACACAAGTTATATTAATCCAAAACTCAGCTTTAAATACAGCATGTAGCTACACACACAACAGTTGTGAGTAAAAGTCAATAAGATATTCACAGTGTGTTAAGTCTAGACATACTGTGGCTAGAGTTAAGGAAACATATATTCCAGGGGGTGAAATTGATCTGTGACTGTTGTCTCAGATATATATAACTATAATTGTAATTTAACTATTGTAGTTATTCATTTGTGGGCTCTGACGTGATTGGATAAGAGAAAGGAAATAAAAAGTCAGCACGTGATGAGTAGCTCTTGAGCTGCGTAGCAATAGCAGCTAAACTGAGATCAGTCTCCCACTTCAGTTCAACCATTTTCCCTCATAAGATATCTATTTAGTCCTTTCCACTTTTTTACCCTCATGAAATGGCACCACATTAAGAAGACCTGAATCTCATGTGGGATGAGTTTGAATAAAAATGTAGTAGTGGTATCTGGTTTTAAGGCTCAGTTCAACAATAAAAGTGAATAACAATAGTCATGTACTTGTTGCCTTGAGTAGTACAAGTTCTTTCACTTGATAAATCACATCATAGGACTCTTATCTCGTTGATTGTCTCATAATCACTGCTGCAACTGTTGACTTAATGATATTAACTATAAAATAAGACTTATATTTGAAGCGAGCAAACATTTACATACACAGACTGACTCATAATGTAAACCTCTGACTTTCTAGTGCTGTCTTCAGGTTTACCTAGAGTTGTATGCATATTGTTTATTGTGTAAATTATTCATGCTTGTATGTATCCCAGAGAACAGAACAGGGGGGACTACAGGAGAGAAAAAATACAAAGTTAATGACATTGAGTAATGTGATAAAAAACAAAAAATACATGGGGGATGATGTTTATTTTTTTCTAAACTGACATCATAAAGTCTGTTTATTGTTTTCCATTTGGATAATCGACATAATGTTTTATTCACTGATCATTTCATTCGTTGTATTGATACATTATTTTGGTTTTATATCTCTGCCTTGTAAGGTGATCTTAGGTGATTGATGCCCAATGAACAATTCCATACTTATTAATATTTCATTGACAATACATCTGGTATCACCTTTTCTGGAAAAAAAATCATGAAGTGATAAAATGGCCCATGGGAATTCCCTGGGAATCCCCAGGGACACAATGTCCCAATGCTAAAAGTCTACTCAATGTGAAACACAGTTCATGTAGTGGTGTTTCCAAAGAAATATTTAGAATATCTGTTTGAATGATATGAGACCTGTGGTCAAGGGTTTCATTTGTCAGACAGGTTTTAACTCTCCTTTTATATCTCCAATTATTTCCACCATGTGAATTTTACACTAATCCATTTAAAACAAACTAATACATCATATAATGTTTCTCCTTGAGGTACATGTGGTTTTTACAGACTAATCTGAATATAAATACTTGCGAAATCTAACTAACATTTTTAGCACCTGGTGGAACACAATAGAAAAACTGGAAGGTAAAGTCTAAGACTGTAGAATTGCTCAGTATAACATCTCTCTGCATGTTAACACAAACAGACACTCTCTGATGCTGAGCACAGGGACTTTCCATAAGCTTTTTGTATGTTAATGGGAGTATTCTCTCAAGATATGGAACCCATTACACCCAGGACGTACTGTGAAGAGCCAGTGCCTGTTAAAGATTACAAAAACACAATGATTTACAATAATAATTGCCATAGCATGTAAATAAAAAGAGAACAAGTAGCTGTGGTGATGGTTAGGAGAGAAATGTAACTATGGTGTAAGGTTTCTTCTTGGTCTATTTATAAGATTTTGACCTAAATGAAAAGATAACCATCAACTTGTTTGTCTTTTCAACAGGCATCCAGTTCCACCATACGTTATTTCTTGTAAGTTACCCCGCAGCTTTTCATCATGTCATGTGTCTTATTAGAAATGTCAGTAGTAGTCCTTGCAATGGTATGACTCACTCTGTCAGCTTATGGAGATTCTCTTCACCGTGTGTATATTTCCATTACAAGAACACTCAATGATGTGGTCATCTAATGTTCTCTAAGGAGGCTAAGTCAAACACAGAAGGAAAAAACCTAGTAGTCTGACCTGAGCTGTAAGTGAAACTATTTGTTCATGTAAGTGACCCTGAATCACTTTGAAGTCAGCACTCCAGCACTTCAATTCTACCACAGTAACATGAATCTGCATTATCCAAACATAAAGTCCAAACACATATCCAAACCGTTTTCAAAGCTTTGCTGTGTTCAATTTTTCAAGTTTTTTGTTCTTGATTTTCGTGACTTTTCAATTTAGGAACTGGTAGGAACTACTGATATGACGCACCTTGTCATTCCAGAGAAAAATACATACTCATGCTATAAACCGGGTCAGTCTGCACTTGTGGTTTTACTGGAGAGGAGACTCAACATGACCTTTTAAAAGAATGATAGCTGGTGACAGAAGAGGGCTGCCAATCTGATCAGATCCAGGGATTAATCAGCAGATAACTATTATCTCTGGGCACAGAGCCAAAAAAGTAAAGTTTGTGGTGTCAACAAGCAGTGTATCGTATGTATGTTACTATATTCCGGTCATGTCCAAGTGTTACCAGGGTAACCGTGTTTACATTTCCCTTTTTCTTCCAAGAAACCAAGGGCCTTCCCTCTGGTTGCTGGTTCTGGTTTGGACTGTGATCTTTTCTCTCACAGGTGAGCACTTATCATATCATATATATATATCAGAGCACCAGCAACATGTCTATATCTTTGTTTAACAGGGAGACTATACAAATCAGGGTCTGATCCATGGGTGGGGCCCCCCAGTCTGATTGGCCCCCTAGCGTGCCTCTGTCCTGTCATTATAATGTAATGCCCGACATAAGGGAAACCTGAGCATAACATAAAAATGAATTCCCTACTCCTCAGGATGTCCAGTGCCATGAACATTTACAGTCCAGCAAAAAGTATATATTTGACAACTTGAGTAGAAAAACTGCATCAGGGTGAGCACAGCCAAAGCAAACCAACAAAAATAATTCCCACAAATGTACCACAAAGAAAAAACCATGAAAAGGAGAAAACAATATTTGCAAAAGAAAGGCCTCTGACCTCCACATATATCACCACTGCTTTCTAGAGCAATTTACACTATGTACAATAAATAACTAGTTGTCAACAATTTGATCAGGATTGTTATTTTCTAAGCCTTTTAGAAGTACACAATGTGTTTGAACGAGGCACTATTTTGCAAATATATACACATATATACACATGTGTCTTGCTCAAAGCTATCGAGCTAAAAAGAAACAAAAAACAACTTAAATGTGCACTTTACTGAATCATAAATTGTGCAACGATTTTGGACACATATACAGTAATTGGCCCCTCTGTTTGAATTGTGGCCTCTTTATGGCCCCTGATTTAGAAAAGTCCTAGATCAGCCACTGATGTAAATAGGTTACACATATCACCCCACTATGCTTGATAGCACATGGATAAATAAATGCAAATTGTATTATAAGTATAATATAATTATGTGTATTTTGAGGTGCTGCTGCTATCAAGGCTAGCTGTTTCCACATGTTTCCAGTATTTAGCAGTCACAGACTCACTGCCCTCTTCAAACTGATAACAGGTTTTCTTTTTTAAAGCTTTGCTAAAATAAGTTGGCTACAATACCTGTTATCTATCTAGCTTGAGAAAACATTGTTCTCTGCTGTTGATGGATTGAAACACCCACATCAATTGTGATTAAATGAAAAGTAAAACCTCTTTCTAATAGTAACATGAAACATGAAAGGGACATTGATAGAGATGCTTTTTACACAGAAGGAAAAGGGCAGCTAGGAAAAAGAGGAACTGAGATTAGTCAGACACGTCACTGACAGGCGCTCTCAGAAAGCCTAAAGGAAAAACCCTTGACCTTTACAGCCTGTGCTGTTGATCATCATACCTTGAAACACAGAAAAACTATTTCTGTGTTTTCAGACATTACACTTCTGGTTTTCAATAGTCTACAACACTCTCTGATCATGCACCAGTACTATTTGTGCTTATCTATTCTTTTTCAGAGAGTGCTATCACCATTCAACTCAAGGGGGAGGCTGGTGGAAATGTGACCTTTAAATGCCCAGTTGACAATAAACGGACAGTTAGTTGGTTCTACTTTCAACGTGGTGACGTGTTCCTGAACGGCTACCATGCATCAAGAACAATCCCGAATCCAATATTGGAGAACACAAGACTGGAGCCCAACAGCACACATGTGCACATGTTCAGGCTTAACATCTCAGACAGTGGGATGTATCGATGCATCATTCAATACAATGATATCATCACTGAAGATAAAATCCAACTCACTGTCACAGGTATGAGAGTGTTAAATTCAACATTTAATAATGACATTTGAATAAATGACTTTGAATCTCTGACACCTTACAACACAGTGATGAAATAATACTTAGATTAGAAACTTTTCTGACTAATTTCTAACATCAAAGGTGAGGAGTAGTTTTTAAGCTTATGTGAATATGCCCATTGTCCATATCCATCTTACAAAGTTAATGTGTATGTGAGCCTCATTGTGATTAGACTTTAAATTCAAAAACTATAATTCTTACTGGTAAATATTTACCATCCTTGTACCCTTCTATCAATCTCTCAATATTGTTGATACTGATGATCATTGAAAATATACAAGGTGCATAGTTGCACAGTTTCAGAAAACCTTTACATTGGAAACAGACCACTGATGGTGATCACTTTCTCTCTGCTTCTGTGTCCTCTAGCCCCCTACAGCAAACCCACTGCGACAAAATCCTGTGATGATGTCCGTTGTTTGGTGACATGTGCTTCATATGGCGGGTACCCAGGGATCAAGGTGGAGTGGATAATACCTGGGTCTAGAAATACCAACAGTCCGCCATGGAAGGTTGAAAACAACACTCAGGTGTCCCACCAAAGCACGATGTTGGTCGACAGCAGCAGCACTGTGAATTTCAACTGCTCCAACGGAGAGCTGAAGAATCTCAGCTGCTCTGTTGGCAATGTTACCTCCGACTTGTTCTCAGTGTGTGAGTACTGACAGGATGAGCTCTGATGGTTTCTTCAACAGTCTGTTTTATGCTGTCTACCACTGTCTTCTTGAAGACACGAGAGGTGAAAACATCTTCAACAAATCTGTCTTCAAGAAACACAAACAAGACATAAAGAAACACAAGCAAATCTAGTTGCCTTTGTGCACTTGTACAATGTCTGAAAATACCACAACCTGGATGACTGAGAATCTTCTACCAAGCTAACACTCTCAACTCAGATCTCTAACATAAATATACAGTCATAACGTCATCTCCAGGCTTGTCATTGTTCCACTTACTTCTTTTTATCTGACACGTATGTGTTTCTTGAAGACACTTGTGATTTAGGCGTTTTAGCCTCTCATCCACAAGGTTTCTTCAGTTCTGACGTTATACAGTCCAGATATCAGCTGTTTCAATCAGGAAAGGCAGCAACTGGTCTCCTGCTAACACTGTCTCGCTTCAGCTAATTCACCTACCTAACATTGGTAATAAAGCATTGCCACAGCACAGTAACAACTTTCAAACATGTCAACTAATGACTGCAGTTTACAGAATAAATAATCAAACAGTCAGAATCTTGGCACAGAGTCTTCAACTCTGGAATACACCTACAGCTTTCTAAGATTCAGTCCATTTTTCTGGCAGAGTTGTTAATGACAATTCTTGTAATGTGATATACTAAAATAAACAAATGTGTACTGAAGAGTGACTAGTTCCTTTTTACGGCTATTGCTCAGGAGGTAGAGCAGGTCGTCCACTGACCAGAAGTTGTACGGTTCAATGTGATATAGTCCCAAGGCACTTACATTACACACAAGCAGTGAAATACACACCAAATCAATAATGGATGATAACTGATTATTGCTGTTAGATTTCTGATTGAGAGTTTGTCATTTAAGTTTTTGCAAATGCACACATACAAACACACACACAAATTAGTGTCTGTGACCCTAAAGTATAGAGTTTCAGGGAAAATGTATGTCTATCAGTGGATCATGTGGTCTTGGTTATATTATCACCAGCAACAAGGGATAATTTGGCTTTATGTCTTGATAGAGGGGGATGTAGAGATGTGTCGTCCATCTTTATATACAGTTTATAGGAGCCACAGAAGGAGGAGCAAAGAAAAAATATATAGAGCAAAGAACTAACAATGTTTGTTCTGAAAATCAATGAATTATAATTCTTTGAACCTAACCGTCACAGTGAATGTGTTTTTAACTCTAACCTATGTTTGTTCTCATTCAAAGGTAACCCCGAGGTTAAACCTAACTCTTACACTCCTCTCAAAATAGCAGCTCCCTGTGTAGTGCTGCTTTTGATTGTGATTGCGGTGGTACTGTGTTGTTGGCACAAGAAAGGACAAACAGGTGAGACAACTTTTATGTTTTACACTGCAGCTGTACAATTATACGCAACAACTGACAATAGTTTCTGTGCCATTTTCTAGGAAAAGATTGCAGAGAAAATGGAAATAAGGAGTAAGTGGATATTTATTATAGACACAACTTTACTTCAATAATATTACTTGGACTGAACATGTGTCCCATTTTTATCACCATCTTGTCACCACTGACCACTGTCTTGTGTCTTTACTGTCTTTCTTTTATGTGATTTTCTCCAGGGAGTTAAAATACCTCAAAGAACTCTGTAAGAAGGAAGGAGAAAAAGAAGATCCAGTAGATGACTTTAACGCACCTTGATGTTTGTTATTAACCGCCAATAAGCAGAACAAAAAACAAGTAGTCAGGTATGTCAGCTTTTTTACAGAGCAAAGACATCAAATCAGAATCTAATGCTGGGACTCAGTGTCGCTGAAACATACTTGTCAGTCTGCCAAGTCTGTTACTGACCAAGGAGCTGGAGCAGGGGCTGACACTTGTGACTTTTAGTGATTGAGGCAGTATTGGTTAGTAGTGTCATTTTACTGGTGAAAGACAGTGTGTCATTCTAGTGAGAATAGCTCAGTTTCCACAAAATTACTTGTAAATTGAATTGTGGTGAGATTACGCCACCCAGCAATGTAAGCAGTTAAACCTAAAGCAGTAGAGAGAATGTTTTAAAAGAGAATGTGTGTTTGAATGCGGTTTGAATTTCACTGACATCTTTTTTTTTTTCATTTTCGAAAATTAAACATTGTTGTTACAGCACTTTACGATCCCTTTCCTTTTCCCATTTTTAAATATGCTCTTGTCTTTACTGTTTGGCTTTTTTATTGAATGTTGTTAGTAGAATATGTAATGTTACTCCTGCCAAGCTACTACCTGTTTATTATTTATCAGTTCCCTTATTCATGTCTTTGGTTTGTTTTGTCCATCAGAATTGATTTGTAGAAAAACCCAGGGAACAAATGTGAAATTACACAGAAGGTAAATATCAGAAAACGTATTTATTTTCTGAACTTTGATTCAGGTATAAAGTTTTCTGTGGTGCAATAAATGTTTGGTATTTATATAACGCTTCTCTATTGACCGCTCAAAGCTAATAGATTCCAATATTCCAGAATCCCTATTTAATGTGCAATGCTGAATATAAATGAAATTACCAGTGCTCTCATTATTAGAATTACAGTCTATTTCCAAAGTCATAACTATTTTTCTCAGGCGATTTTTCTCTCGTGATTTTTTTTCTTTAATATTGAACAAAGAATTACAGATGTTTTTTTTTCAATATTTATTTCCTGTTTACATTGTTATGAGACTGGAGAATTTTTGTTATTCCTCCTTCCTACAAATTACCAACTGGTCTCAAATGGCTGCTCTCATTTCTCAAATCTGTACAAAGCACTTTTCTCCAGAGGCTGTTGTAACTTTGTTTTTTGTTTTTTTTGACATTGTATTGACATTGAAATGCAAAATAAAGTAAAAATACGTGAAATTTGATGTTTATTGTGTCAATGGAAGCACTTTTACTACAAATTCAGACTATTCCTTAAACTTTAACTGCTACTAGATTAGACATTTTACACTGAGATTTGAATTATCTGCGAAATTGGTGAAGATGACCAAAAAAATCCAACTATCTCCGAATGTTAAAGAAAGTGAAAAGAAATTCCTGGATTCACCCTTTTGCCTGGATCAGTGCTAAAAATATGATTTAATATAATGTCTTTGGCGCAAGTAAATAAATACATGTTTACTTCAACATTTTAGTTTAGTTTAGTTCGACCATTTTTTAAAAGGTAAAACAAAATACATTTGTTGAAAAATTTAGTAAAATAAATCAGAAAAAATAATAGTTTATTTTCTGGCTGAAAAAGAATAGGCCAAAGTAATATGCAAGTCTAGTCTTGTGTAGGACAAGATGCTATAAAAAGTCATAAAATGAAAATTTGAGATATAACTTTAGTGTCCATCCTTCCACTACATCAGTGTTTTCTCCTTGCATATGTCAACCTGCTTTCTATTCCTCTTCTTGTTTGTTGTACCTATGAATGTGCCTTTGTACGTTTTATCAAACTGTCTGAGATTTTTATTTTGTTTTATTCCATCCCTCAGTCCATTTCACAAAATCACCCCACAGATTGAAAAGCACACGTTTCAGTTGCAGTGCAGGCAAATTGCCACTAGATAGAGCTCTAGCACTACAGAGTATGGACAAATCTCCTGCAGTGGTTGATTGGCACGTTGAGCATTGTACACTTCACATATCTGAATATTATTTTGATATATTTAAATATCCATGAGTATGATCGCATTTTTAATGAGCTGGCTTTATTTGCGAACATGCCCGGATCTAGAAGTGGGTAATGCCCGCCCAAATTTCTACTCCGCCCACCCAATTGGTCAAGTATATTCTGTGCCATTTGAATCAGCCAGTCATGTCAATTAATTCGCCCCATCATAATTTTCTGTTTTCTGAATTACTGGTTGGACGTAGGGCTGGGTTCATCACTAAGTCCACTGCGTGAAAAGGTGCCAACCACAAATTTCTAAATGTCCCTGCCCTGATCTGAGTCGTCCAGTTCAAGGACTGTTTCCGTCTGTCCGGGGGAATAAAGCATCGTTTATGCATTAGGTGTATTACTCTGAGCAATGTGATCACAGGGATACACAATGTCTCTCTAACCACAATATGTGGTCATCTGCCAGGAGGAGAATGAGAAAACCTGAAAAGAGAAGAGGAATAAGAGCAAGAGACGAGAGGTGAGATCTGCAGAGGAAAAGTAAGACGGGAGGAGAAGAGATGTAAGACTGTTTGCTCACATGACTCTATAGGCTGGCCATCATGTACCAGCAATGTTACCTCTTCTTCTTTCTCCATTTATCTTGAGCTCTTCTTCACACGTTTTATTCTTTCAACAGCACCTCCTGCCTCTCTTCCTCGCTTGCTTTCTCTCTGTCTCATGAGTCGCAGTGACGGGCCGTCAGTCCAGCTCTCTGCCCTGTGTTTACACTGGGCAGCCGAGCAGCACCAGGCTGGTTGCACTCCAGGAATGTGAACACCCCCCAAGGTCCCTGGCCTCCTCCACCTCCTCCGGCTCCCCGCCCCCCCCTGTCCTCCTCATCTTTCTCTTCTTTACCTCCTTCCCTCTTTTATTCCCTCATTGCAAAGACTCACCCCATCTCCTGCACTTTCCTTCTGTCATTCCTTCCGCCATCCCCCTTTTATTCCGCCCCTCTCCTCCATCTAATTATCTTACCCTTTTTGCTCCCTTACCCCCCTTACCCAGCCCTCCCTTCCTCCTCCCTCTGCCACCTTTCTCCCCTCCATCCCGTACCCTCCCTTTCGCCTTTCTCTCCTCCGAGCCTCCACTCCCCTTCTCCCTCGCCTTTTTCTGCTTCCCTCTTTAAAATTCAGAGTGCATTGTCCCAGATTACTCACACCCCCCTTGCCCCTGTCATCCTCCCCTCACCTCCCACCACCCCTCCATCTCTCTGTCCTCCCTCCCCTCATTCCTCTGCTGCCTAACCCAAACAAACCAGGGAGGACTTTCCTCTGGTGGCTGCAACAGAAACACACCACATGTCAGACTCGGGTCAAATATAAACATTGGACAATTTGTGGTGCTGGAAAAAAGATATGAGGTGTGTAAGTTCAGCATGAGATAGAGCTACTATTAGGAAATCTTAACGCTAAAAGTTACCACTGAATATACACACATCAGAGCAGAGAACTGTGTAGTGTGGTGTATATTGGCCATGGTATACTCAAGGTATTTGGGTAACTATCAAAGAAAGCAATGGACTCCATAGAAAAACAATAAAAAAGACATCTTTTCAGTTGCTCTGCATGAACCAGTTAAAAACACTGAAGCTGTTTGGGCCACATGCAATACAAAGAATTCCAATTTTTTCCCTTGAAATAAAAAGCATTTACACCATTACTATAAAGATCTCCCTGGATATCATTGGTATATCACTGTGTAATCAGATTTAACACTTTATGTGGATAAAATACATAGTTAGATGTTTTTTTTTATAGATTTGTTCATTGAATTTCCAGTTTATACATGTGTAAAAATACCACATTGAAAAACTTCACATTAGAGTTTACAGAAAAATCTAGAATGGCACTCAATGGCCAATGCCCAACAGTCCCCATTTAATCTATGAAGCTGTACTAAACTGCACACACTCATTGATATCAGCCCCTTAAATATGCCTGATTTATTTTATCAAGATTCATGAATTATTTCCTGGGAAATCAGTGAAGATTTCTAAAAAAAAATTCCTGGATCCGCACCCTTATCTGGATAAGCACCAAAATTTAAAGAGTTCTTCTAAAACAGGATGAACAGGATGGATTGTGAAAACATCACCTCCTCTGCGGAGGTTGTAAACATTTTACAGAATTGAATAGAAACCCTTGTTTTTGATATGTGGAACTCTGCCTCCAGCTCACTATTTGTTACCAAATAGTATTCCCGCTTGTATAAATGAAAATCTTTATAAACAAGTCAGGAGCCAAATAAAGTAGATGGTATAATTATAAAGAGTCTAAAGCAGACTGTTCTCTTTTCCAGTGATACTGTAGAGTGTGTAATTTCCTGCTAAACTCAGAACCCTTTCAGTCAGAGCACAGTCCTGTGGCATTTCTCAGCGTGTGGTGTGTGACCTCTGCCACACTGTTCTGTGTGGCGCACATACCAAGGGATTTATAATCAGATTATACTAGTTATGAAAGTCAACTAGATTAGTTTTAGTGCGTGGAGCCTGAGCACAAGGCATCGATTCACAGCGGGAGAGGGGAGCTGATCAGCATGAGGGAGATTGGGCTGTTAACGTTCTCAAAATAACAGCAGGCATTTCATCGTCTCTGAATCAGACAAACGTGTGCCTGTGTGTGTGTGAGTGTGTGTGTGTGAGTGTTATGTGCCAATCAACATCAAACTGATTATTCATAATTCAAAATTGCTAAACATTGATATAATAACATTGAACTAAAAACCTAAAGACCTGCAAATATATTTTTTTCTCATTGCAATCAATTCCAATCAAAATCAATGGTGAACACTGGATTGAAGACAAACCCAAGATATGTATCTATTCACAGATGCTATTTTTGATATTTCAATGTCGCAAAATGCTGTGAAAACTCTGTAGGACACTGGGATGTGATTAAGACGTGCATATATCTACAAAATGAAAATAAGGTTGGAGTATTCCACGTCTTAAACCAATTATTTCTTATTCTGAATATATGAACCTTTCTGGGTTATGGCAATCAGCAATCTTGGAACAAGAATCAGCCTTGTTTGCCA